ACACACACACACACACACACACACACACACACACACACAGGCCCCAGCCACCCCCACTCATCTGACCCCGCCCAGCATGGGCTGTCCCATTCACCATCACCCTCTTTAGGGGATTGCTTTTAATCAAGGTGCCATACCATGCAATGCCCCTCTCTTTTCCTCTCTGCTAGATACACCTTCCTCTTATTTCCGATTCCCCTTTCAGAAATCTCTAAGGCTACCCAAACCTTCACTTGACTAGTGCCCCTAGAACAACCCCTTCCCAAGCAGTTACATTCCAGGTAGAGCTCCATCCACTGGAAATTGGAACCCCTCACCCAAGGGTGGCGCTGTTGAGTAAGCACGGGGTTGCTAACGGCGAGGTCCGAGCCCACCTTGCGGCTGGCTCCATGAGAGAAAGACGAGTCTGTCTGCTCTGGTAATGATCTACAACCTCAGCAATGCTGCCTGCGGTGGCTGCAAGTAGGCATCAACTGATGGCAGTGGGTTTTGATTAAGGGGGCCTGGTGCCATAGTGGTTATGCGTTGGGCCGCCATCCCCTGCAGACTGACTCCCGCGAAGTGATAGGCAGTTCAACTACCCTGTCCTCTAGGGTCACAATGAGTGATGGCAGTGAGTTTGGATTTGGTTCGGTGGGGCGGTGGTTACGAGCTGGGCTGCTGCAGGGACACCTGCCGTTTGGAACCACCAGCTTCTCCGCAGGAGACAGACAAGCGTTTTTAGCGCGGTGCTACGGTGCCCTGCAGGGTCGCCATGGGTCAGGAGGGACTGGATGGATGGATGGCCGTGAGTTTGTGGGTTTTACTGTCGCGGAACCCAGGAGAGGGCGCGTGAATGGGTAGAAATACGTGACCCGGGCTGTGTGGGTCACTTTTCCTGATTCCTCGTTTTTAAGCACCTTGGGGAGAGGCCGGCGACCCAGTGAAAAGAGCTCTGGACTGGTCAATGCTGGCTCGCGGCCTGCGGCAGGTGCTGTGGCTGACCCGTGCACAGGCCTGACCCCGACCCGAGCCGGGGGTCCTGGGGCTGCTCTAGCTGGTGGGACCTCAGAGCGACTTCGGCCAGACGTCCTTGGGCAGCTGCGGCCTTCCCATTGCCCACCTACCGCCTCCTTCCTTATTCTAGCAGCTGCCTGCAGCCGCCTCCTCCTCCTCCTCCCGCCCCTCCTCCTGCTCTCTCCCCTCCAGGGGCAGCCCCCATCCCCGCCTCCTCCCTTTGTCTTCCCGCTGATCCAGCGAGCCAGGCTTTCTCCTCCTCTGCTCTTTCCTCTTCCTCTCCCCCTCGAATCCAGTCCTGGTTTCCCCGCCGCCAGCCTCCCCTTCCTCCCCGCCGGGGCTCGTCCCGCCTCCGCCCCGCCCGCCCGCCTACTCCGCGGTCTGTCGGTTCCGCACCGGGCTCCAGCGATCGCAGCCACCCGGGGATTGGCTCGCCCGGTCCGGCTGCTCCAGTCCGGATCTCGCTGCCGTCCGGCCCGGGTACGATCCCAGCCGCCCGGGAGGAAGCCGCGGCGGCTGGCCCCGGCTCCCGTCGGCCGCCTAGCCAGCGGCTGAGTTGGCGGGGAGGGCGCAGCTGGGCAGCCCCCCGGAGCCCCCTCGGAAGACAATGCACCCGGTGCTCGGCC